ACAAACAGCTGCTTGTTTAATTGAAAATAAATTGATGGGTTTTTTTTTGCACTAATAAAGTTTTGGAATTGTAAAGTATTTTGTCTCGTGTCAGTTATATCGTTATCGCAAATTTTCAAATATATATCGTGATAAATATTTTTGGCCATATTGCCCTGCCCTACTGCTGGGGGTGAAAGGCTTTCTACTATCCTCCTCACAATTTGTGTTTCTGAGATTAATGGATCATTCAAACAGAACTCTACACTGCTGCGCCATGTATCATAGTCAACCTCAAAAGCAGGGTATGGCGTTCTTCCAGAGAAAGGTTTCAATTTATATAGAGTGTTAGCTTGTGATATAATGTCACCAGTTTTGACAATATGCTCCACAATAACTCGCTGCACCTCAGGGGTGCTAAGTTGGTCTGCCGGTAGGGGATGATGCTGCCTTTTCCCCAGATTAAAGGAAGGAATATCCATGCCATCTCCCATGGGTTGAGACTCGGCACCAAATGAATCTAAACCTACTCTAGCCTGTATAGCGGCGGATGGCGTGACCATAGACTCACTAGATTTTGAGGGTGACACAGGATTTACAGCTGCCTCGCAGGCCTCAACTTGGTCCCCTTGTACAACTGAATCTCCAATTCTGGCTAATTCCTCCCTCAAAATATTTTCGAATGGAATGCCGCTTTCCACTGCTAAGTCTTTGAGCTCAGAAAGATAGGCTTTAGTTGCAGATGTGCCCACATCACTGACACAAACACTTGCCAGGCTCTGGATATGATGCTTGATCTGTGGGTCAGCATCACATGGTCTTGAATAAGGCAAGTTAAGCTTCTCCAGTTCTTTTAAAGCTGCGTCATACCTATATTCAACGATAAGTTTTCCCCCTTCTCCAGACGTAGGTACTTCAATCAGTCTCGCTATAGAACCAAACTGCTTCAAGAAGTCATAGACCTCATTGTCTATTTCTTTGTTGGTTAGCCCACTAACTAATACTGCATTTTGAATTTTAACACATTCAGATTTCACAATTTCCATGGTAACGGAAAAAATATATAACAGTGCCTCAAAAACTTGAACAGTTCAACTCAAGAATACCCTTGTCACATAGAAACAGTGAAGCTCAATTAAGTGATTGTATTTCCTGCTACTCAATTATGCTCCACATGAATTTTAGAATCCAGCATCAATATTTATCCTGTCCAGCTTCAACACTACAACTTACCCCTCCTGGCTGGCTCGCCAAGTTTTTCCCTGTAACCCGCTACCAATGGGAACAACCCGATTATGCAGGTAGATTACAGTGGACCAGTGTCTAGGTTTGTAGGGAGGGGTTAAGATTTGAGCGTCAAACACAATGAGTAGCAAGGGTCTTGGTTAACCTCAAATAGTATATTTACAAGACACAAAGAAATAATAATTCAGCATCTCAAAGACATACACAATTTAGATTTAAGCCGGCATTTCAAAATAAAATGGGAAAAATGGAACACCAACACCCCAGTCGAATAGTCCTGG